GAAATTTGTAGAAGAAGGATTCGGTAATGGGAATTGTTAAGTGTGGTTTGATTAATGTTGGCACTCTCCAGAGAACAGTACACCAAAGACTAACGCGGTTATTAGGAGACAGCGGAGGACGCTAATATCGCGGCCGTATAATAAACGACGAAGTATAATGGCGAAACGCGGAATTAGCACCTTCTCGGTTTCACGAATATTATGATAATCGGCTCGGCGTATCGTAACCGCACGAAACATCGAGGCGTTCATCGGTATTCCCAAAATCAGTCGTCAAATATGACACGGTAATAACGAAACGATGCACTCAAAACGACCGTATCTTCTTCATTCATTACACAGACGGTAAAAAAAAGAAGATGGACAACGTCTTACCCGATATTTGCAGGACTTTTTATCGAATCCAAGCTTTCAAAATATTTCCACTCAACGAACGGTATTACAAGAATCTCGAGTAAAGAACAACTTCTACCGCTTCGAGTTTCCACACTAATTTCTGTCACCTGGATGAAAGTTTCTATCTAAAGTTTTATCGTTCGACACAAACATTTTTTTCGATTTAACTATCTAAAACACCTGTGTTCCGCCCTGATATTTACCTAGATCCAAAATTCAAAGTATAATAGTCTTACAGTGGATCGAAAGTTTGAATCAATTATACACGGATTACGAAACACACACACACAGACAGATCGGAATTTCTTGACAGACGATAAATCTATTCCACGTCCACGACGACCTAGGCCAGCGATTTCAAACAACGTCTATCCTAGCTCGCCGCTCGCCCGGCCGTCACACGTTGAAACAAAACCCCCGCCTGATTACGTTATTTTACGTGGATTGGAGACGTTTATTTGCCTCTGTCCACCGTGAAGAAGAAACGAGCCTCGGGGAAGTACCATTTAGAAAGACAGTAGACTGTATCGAATCCTGAAATAAAATGACCGACACAGCACGTCCACTTAACCACTTGAATTTCACCCGGTGTTCGTCGTTACACGACCATCGTCGATTCGAGGATTATTAGTCGGTGGAATCTGTCTGGCTAATACAATTGTTGCTACAGGAGGAGATACATTACGCGAGGGCAGATCGCTCGTAAGCGATCTCCGGTGAAAGTAACCGAATGTAACTCCGGTCTCGCGTGTTAAGTCTGTATAAATATCCATTGACTTTCTCGTTTGGTAACGTCGGGACGCATTATTAGCGCATCCAATCAGTTTTCTACAACATTGTCGAGAGGTACAGAGACAGCGGGGAGACACGTGTGTATTTAAAAAGCGTTGCTCGTCGAATTTTCACTCGATCCGTTTAATCGGCCCATGTATCGTCTATCTTTACAATGATAGGTGTACGATTGGTAGAGAAGGAGTTGAGTGTATTTATAATAGAGGGCGAATCATAGAAAGTTGGACCTGTTTTTTTCCATGGACTCAGTACCTACGTTATCATGGAATTTTTATGATACGGACTGTTTATATTCTCCTGAACTGTCTGCTCGCACGACGATTAAATATATTGGTAAATTGGAAACTAACTGTCGGAAAGGGTAATAAAAGGATCTTTTCCGTTACTTTTATTTTTTGTCTTGGAATTTATCGTTCCACACTGTACATTGGTGCTCCAAAGTATCTCACGCGCGTTCAGTTTCTCATAGATATTTTGAATTAGGTATTAGGAACAAAATGGGATTTGTCGAAATTTAACGTATTTACTATGAATTTTTCAGTAGTCTCGCAGTAGGTACTTTGGAACAGCAGAGTATCAATTGCAGGCGGTGGAAGTGTTCAAAAGATGATGGACAGTGTACGTTTGGCGGGTCTTAAACCTTGAGTCGCAAAGAGACTGACAAAACACACCTGGGAAAATTGTCGCCCTCCGGGCATCGTAATCACCCATTATCGTGATCTCGAGTTATGAGACGCCCCCGGGGTGGCTCCGACCCGCGGAGAAGGAAAAAAACGTGCGTGAAGGAACGAAGGACGGCCCCCCGATTCGACATTCCGAGCACGTTCCGCCACTTTTAAGTAATCGTACGCGTTTCGCCGGACCTACGACACTCTCTCCGCGACATTAGATTGAATAGACCTCACACGATCGTGAGTCACCTGATAAAGTCACTAACCTATTATTACATAAATATTTCACAATTTTATTTCTCAGTGGAACAGACACCAAAAACGATATTTTCGGAGTTGCTATTGTGACGATAGTCTCTGTAGTTTGATTTTCCGATGATTTATAAGAATGGAAATTGAATTTTAAGCGGTATGACCGATCGGAGCATAGAATTGATTAGTGTACTATGTACTCGGTGTAACTGTATCGAAAACTATCTATGTGAAACATTATTTCCAGATGTCAATATAGATAACATTAAGGAATTGGACTCCAAGCATTTGAATTTATCGAAGGATTGAATTTTAGTATTGTGCACTAATTGCATCTATCTGTCACTATGGGACCACCGATTTTGTAAGGAGACAGGAAGGAAAAGTCGTGAAAATCCGTAATGTCCATCGCACAAGATCCGGTTCGTATATATTGAAATAAGTATACACAAAGCGAAAACTGCATCGAACCGCCATCACTTTGGATGCACCTCCTCGGGGCTCGATATTCCCACCCCCCGAAGCCCGCAACGGCGGTCAAAGATCAAGACGATTTCGGAGCGAGTGGGTCGCGCGTAAAACTCCTTCTCGTCCGATTAAATTCACATATCGGTGAGAAACCGGTTTTCCATACGTTTTAATTTCACGCTGACATCGGCGCAATTCAGTTTACACGGATACTGGCCATTTTCTAGCGCGGCCCGCGAGATTAATGTCTAGCCGGTGTGTGTACGTGTGTGTGTGTGTGTACGCGGCGTGTTTTCGAAGTTCCGCGGAATTTACGCCGCGACACGTTTCCCAGGAACACCGCCGGACGACCTCCTCCTCTTCCTCCTCCTCCTCCTCCACCTCCTCTTCATCTTCCTCCTCTACCACGTAAGTACACTTTTCGATCTTAATCATCCGCGCGCGATCAGCTCGCGGGGCTAATTGAGCGGATCTCAGACGACACACACGCACATACACCGGTTTCTTTCCTTTTTTCGTCGTTTCCGGTCGACATCGATCGACGGCTCCGATCGATCGACCTGGGATTAATTATTTTCACGCACTCCTGTCTGGGTTCCTTCTCCCCCTCCTAGCCAGTTAATTAGAATGGGATTGATTTCCGTCCAGGGTAGTCATCGTGAGAATTCTCTTTGATCAACGCGCGGTGAAACTTGTCTTGGAGTTTTTCCGTTCGTGTTGGTCCCGCGTCAACCGGCCACGCCGCCACGGGTTTTCAATTTTTATGTCTCGCGGGTAGACGCACAGGAAACTAAACTCTGGTAACTAAAGTTCGAGACAGTTAGACGGAACTTCCTCGAATCTACGAACGGCAAACTTTCCCGACCTTTGAACTCCTGGCACTTCCGGCGAACGTCGGTTCCAGGTGCACATTTGTATCGGCACTTTTCACGAGACACGGTTAGTTCTGGTTTTATTTTCGCGAAGAAGAATGTCGTAGGCTTTGTAAAAACTCGAGATCATTTTCTTTGTCGAAGAGGGCGTTTAGAGTTATCGATCATCGAGATCGATTTCATATTAACTTCGTCGGTATCTTTTATTGAGCAAGTAGATTCGATAGTTTTCGAAATATGATCGTGGATATCCAAACTTCTCTGCATTCGTAAGGTCCTCTTAATCGTCCGAATCTATAGATCATTTCGAGAGTGAACTTTTGTAAACATTTCACATTATCTTCCGTGTTACATCTGTCGTTAGCACTGGCACACAAATACAGTCAGTGTCTTCATCTACGAGCTCCGTCAGATTCGTTGAATCTGCAGATATTTCCAAAAGTCAACGTTCGCAATCACCTTCCATTTTCGCTTGTTCTCACAATAACACCGAACATCGAAGAAGATTCATAGTCCATAGGGTTTTTCTGAGTAAACAGGTACAATCACAAACTTTGATGATATTTCTCGAGATCCAAAAGAAATTATTTCCCACCACGGATCGATCGATTCTCCGTGATCTTCCGTCTTCCGTCTATACCGCTGGAGGACATCGCGCCGGAAGTGCCAGACAAAATTCCTATTCCCATTTCCATGTGACCGCGATAGCACACCGTTCGAAACTCTTATCTCGATCCAACGGGCACTAGGAGCACTTCTTCACGATCTTGCACTTTCGAACAACGTTCTCCGAATCGTTCTCACTGTCCTTTTCTTCCTGAATCTACGATGCATTCCATTTACACAGAGAGACTTTCCGTCGATCTCGCGGTAGAACCGATGACATTCAGAGACACTGACAATGTTCGGCATCGATGGATGAAGCACTCGTAAACTTTGTCACTGATTATTGTCTACAGTCACTGCATTTCGATTTTTCGAATTGGCGTAGTGTGTTTATTACACGAAGATTTACGGTTGTCACCGGGTGACACTGCTTTTGTGAAGGATATAAAAATCGGTGGTTCTAGCGTGGTAAGTGTATCTGTCATTTATTTTACTCCATTTTGTTTCCTAACGTATACAAGTCTCCATAACTATCCTACCTGTCAGTTCCTCTGTTGTTAGTCGATTTCCAATTCCACTGATCTAACATCACTTCCGAAATTATCGAATGAAATACAACCTCACGATCGCCCAAGTTTCCAACAACATTGGCGATCGTTTCGATCAACAACAACGAAGATATCATCCACCCCTCATGCTACCCTACCAACCCTGTCACGCACTCTGTCACTTCGTCCGTCAAACTGTCCAGTCAAAACGATGTCCACACCCTATTGTCGTCTATACGATCGGTGATCTCGAGCACTCGACGAATAAAAACTGATGCTCCGGTGTCCACTATCCCATTCAGCCCCCGTGTCTCCCACAAGAACACGGGGTCCACCTATCCCACGTTTCCGTTTGTTGTGTGTTCGCGCGTGAAATTTTTGTATCTCGAACTCACCTGCAGTATGTATCCCCGCGTGTAATCCTCGTACGTCCAGCCGAAAGCGGCTAGTAAACGTGTCACTTGCGCGTGCGGCAATTGGTTGAACAACTGATCGAGCAAGATCTTAAGACGTATCGGCAGTGCGCGCGAGCCGTAGAGTACGAGAGATGCGACGTCAAACGCGGCCGTCGGCTCGACACTCTCTGAAGCCGGTGGCCTCTCCTCCTTCTCCGCGACATCGCCGCCCCCACCAGTTCCGTTACCACCACCACCGCCACCACCACCGCCACCACCACCACTACGACCACCACCACCTCCAACGTTTCTATCCCCACCACTGATCCCCCCACCGGTTAACGTTCCCCCACCGCTGACACTTCCTACACCAGCACCACCTCCACCTCCACCGTCACCGCCACCGCCTCCTCCTCCTTCCCTCGACGCGGTGGTCGTCGTCGTCGGCGGCGTCGTCGTCACCGTGGTCGTCGGCGTCGCCTGCTTTACCCTCCCTACGCCGCTTTTGTCCTCCCTACCAGTGCCACGGGGGCTGGAGACGACATCCCCACCCGATCGCCGTTGCCGCTGCTGCTGCTGGTGGAGGCCTGAGAGTCGCGCCAGCGCTGGAACAAACAGAGAGGAGAAGAGACGGGGGTTAGAAAGAGAGTCGTCTGTTTGGCCGCCACGGATTAGCGCGTGTGTTGGTGACCGTGGACAAACCTTCCCCCCCCCCGCCCCTCACCAACCCACTCGCCCATCCGTGCCGGGTACCTCCCACCCCCGCGTTTCTTGCCCATCCCTCCCCCTCCAACCCCTCTACACGTACTTCTCGGTCCCTGTCCTTTCGTTTTGTTTCTGTCTCCTTTCGCGGCATCTAGCCTTCTCCCGGCTCGACCGTACCGTGTGTCTGTCCCTCACTCCCTCTCCCTTTTTCTCTCTATCTCTCCCTCTCTCTTGCTTCTGTGTCTCTCCGGGTATCGGTACGGACGCGCAACCTAGGGTCGCCGTGGCACCGAGGGTACTTACTTACCTCCTCTACCCGCCACCGGACTCGCTCCCCTACCATCTTTCCTGTCCGGGCTACCAATACACCCGTGGCCCCGGCCGTTACCAACGGACCCCGGGTATAGGATAGTTCCTGCTGCTATACACACGTACACACACATATATCGATATACTATATACCTGGCCGCCGTGGCCGCTACCAATACTGCGCGAGCTGGAATGTACCGGCAGTCCCCACCAGCGGGATTTTCTCATGAGACTCGGCATCCATCAACCTGCTGCTGCCGCCACGGTGTCTCGGTTTATACGGCGATCGCCCGTACTACGACGCGTACGTACACGCTACCGGGGTGAAATCGTTCTCTCGAGGAGTACCCGAGGATCGTTTCCATGGGTATTCTCTCGTACCCCTGTTATTTTTCTGATATTTCCCTTTTTTGGTCCTGTTCACCATATTAATTTCTATCACAGGTTTGACAACGGGAGATTCGACCTTAGGAGGGTACCGATCATTAACCCTAGAGACGTTCCGGATTAGTTGTACAAGAATTGGGATGATCCTGTTTGTAAAACTAATTTCGAAAAGAATCAGAAATTATAAATCTTATATAATTAAAGCAACGGTATCAATCTTCCAGCGATGCTACCCTTGGATATTTTTACGTGAAAACCCCTTCTAAGAGTTTCTACTCAACATCGCGGAATTTATCGAGGGATACGAATAGGGTGCGGAACAATCGCAATAGGAAGTGTTCACGAAGGGAAAACGCCCGCGGTGACGGTGTGTCCGAGTCGCGGCGCTTTGCTTTCTCAGAGACACCGACCGCGCTGCGCCGCGTACATGTATAATCGTCGAAACACCCGTAAGGTCTCGAGGCGCTTTCCCTCCAGAACCGTCACGCTTTTCGCACCTGACGATTCCTATCTCGGGACACGAAAGTTTATAGGCCTTCTTACCGCCCAGACACACATACATACTCACACACACACACACACACAGATACACACAGTACCAAAAGATGATATCGGTTCCCGCGTTTCGCGTACGACGAAAACATTAATCGAAACTGTGCACGTTAATCTTTCCTTTTTCTATCTGGGGCCCCATCAATCTCCCCGTACCGTATACCGTGAACCCACCGTGAATTTATTGGCCGGGGAACGATTAATCGAGGCCCAGGAGTAAAAAAGATGTCCGATGAATTTTCTAAGGCTATAACAACAAACTTTGTAACAGGTGCGTATTATTGAAAAATGTGATGAAAAACAATGAGGATACAATCCTGTTTGTCCTCTTTATGGACAAAATTAAAAAAACTATGGACACATTACTTTCTGGTACCCCTAATGTAGCAAACTTAGGTAGAATATCCGCACCAGATTCATTTAGTATGGTATCGAGTATTTTATCTTATCAACCCCTTCAAATTTGCCAGTCCAAAGGGATCAGGACTTCATCCGCGTTGAAGACAAAGTACCCTGCGACGACTTCTGGTTTTCACGGGTCTAACCTTCGAGGAATTCCTAGTGACTTTTAGCCCCTTAGTAATAACAGCCACCAATCGAGAGGCTTTGAACCCACGTTGGATCTAGCGGAGGACGTTCAACCTAAACAAAGCCGGTGCCGAAACGCCGGGGTCTCCGGCGCGCTAGAGACAGAGATAATCACTCATTGTCGTATCGAGACGATGGGAAAGCGGGGTCGTGTGTAGGTGCGCGTATATAGCGCGGGAGGATCCATTACGCGCGCGTCCTTCTCTTTTTTTTTTTGTTCCGGGCGATAACATTAAGAGGGCGGCGCGGATTGTTACGGGGAGGGGCAGGGCACGGGGGCGATGATTGTCGTTGTAGGTGCCATATCGGGGGGCCCCTCGGGGACTCCGCGAGCGGTCCCGGACCCTCGCAGCGGTCCCAGCGTGGGATCAATAGAAATCACGGAGTCATCCCGATTGGGCGCCACTTGTCATTAATGACTATCCGATTTTCGATTTAATTAAACCGCGCGATGACGATCTTGCCACCTAGACGGTCTGGACCTTCTCGCAGAGGAAAGGACGCAGGTTGTAAATCGGTTTCTGGAACGAGTACCCTCGATGATCGCTGTTAAATCGACGTTTTTGCCTGAACGGAGATGGGCCTTTTCACGTCTAGGGTTACTATCTGGTTTGTTGAGTCTACCGCGAAGAGGCGTGGTTCTCAGCAATGAGGATGAGAAGCGCAGGGTGATTCAACGAGGTCGTTTAGTTAGGAGAATTCACTGACCGTTACGGTGTTTTCCTTGTCAATAGGACAGTTCGATGTTTGTATTTTTTGTGAAACATTTGTAACGTGTTAAAATGCATGATGTGATTGTATATCGGAACCTCTAGGTACTCTTTGACCTCTGCTCAGCCCTCTTTTCCTCTTTGGTATAGTTTTGCTACGAGTTTAGTCAGTTATTGGCCAATGTCCTCCAGCTTCCTTGGCCACATTCGGCTATTTCGATCTGATTCTTGCAATAATTATGATTTATTAATGTTTTCATTCGGCCAAAATTTACACTTTAAACCATAAGAATGTTTTTCAAGGGAAAGACCGATCCACGAGCGGGGGTTCCAAGCGGTACAACAATAAAGGTAATAAAATCCGTTCAATTCTCAGTGTTTATCGAGAAGTCTGGGATACCGGTGATAAAGTAGGAAGGAAGTCCCGCGAAGAAGGGAGAGAATGGACATGGAAATTCCCGCCGCGAACTTCCTTTCCGTTCCGTTATTAATTATCTGAGAATTATTCTGAAATAATCCTTACAAAGTGTCGTAAAAATGTAAATTGTACGCAATTAGTAATCAGGTTCCCCAATGTCTGCCAACGGAAAGAAGTTCCCGTCAATGGAAAATTTGTGATTAAACCCGTTTGAGAAACCGTAACACAGGGTCAATTGCCTACGTCCCTCGTGGAACGGAAAATGAGGGAAAGATTGTCTTCGCCCTGTCGAAGCTTGAACCTCGACTATGTTCCACTGTTATTAGGGAGTTCTTAGAGCGTGCAATTGATACAACAAAAAATTGAAAAAAAGCTCCGATAAAAGGAACAACGTTTCATCTGACGATACGTTGAATTTTTTTTTTGTATCTCACGGCGTGGTGTTGTTATCTTTTTTCGCTGGATTGGCTCGGTGGGTGCGCGCGCGTGCGACAATGAATTTTCCGACGAACGAACGTCGATGGAAGGGTAGGGTGGCACGGGTGTCGGGTGTGTTAGCTGGATTTACGGCGATGCGACGGGTGAAACGCATTTTTGGCGAGACGTGTAGTGTGCGTGGCAACCACACACCGGTCTAGCAGCCGTCCGTCGAATTTCACCGGAATTCTACGGCGGTATTATTTTTCGTTCGGGCCCGCGCTATCGTTGGATTTCACAAAAGATAATGTTTACCCCGCAGTTTAACGCCGGTATCTACGTTCGAATGTCTCGCCAACGTTGAGTGTTCCATTTGCGACTATTATTCTCAACACTTTGATGTCGGATGACGTACTAATACGTCTGTTCAAAAACAATAGTAAAAAATAGGGAAAAATCGCTTTTCCTGTATATAAAGTTTGACAGGAAAAGTTTAGTATTTTCTAAATATTTTTAGAACACCTGAATTTTTATATTCGTGAACACGGATGATCGGCGACATTGAATTATACGAAAAGATATTGAATTTCCTAAACAGGACCACTTACCATTTTCTAAATGTAATTCCGTTCTTTCACGTTCCTGTTACGAGTCACCTCAATCAGAAAACGAACAGCCCATACAATTAACATCGAAACCTCCCACTCGGTAAACATTCTCTGTTCCTCTCGAATCAGAAAAAAAAGAGAGGATCCACACACAGGGGTAGGGGGTGGGTGATCATTGAAACAACGAACGGTAGTGCACTGACGGGCCGGGGGTAAAAGTCCTGGCTGTCCAGTTGCTGCCGCCAAGCGTTACCCGAAAACAAAAATCCTGACGTTTCGCCACGGTGCTTTTTGACCTTTAAAACACAGCAAAACGGGAGGAAAAAACTAGAGGGAAGGAGAGAGACAAATATAGGATCTGAAAGCCCGACACGGCCGGTCGATCGTAGCCAGGCAGCCACGAAATGGAGATTCGAGTGCATGCATACATAACCAACGCGGGACGCGATGATGCCGGGGACGTAATATCAATACGCCACGGAGGCAGGATAGTCGCGTCTGATTTTCCGAGCGCATCGGCACGTGGATAATGTTTTAATGGAGTTTGCGGAGTGCGAGGGAGGGTAC